ATTTTTAGCTCTGTAGCTAGAGTAACTCCTTCTAGCAACTTCCACCCTACGAGAAATCCGTAAGATATGATACAACTGACTATGCTTATGTAGGTCCAGTACACTTCTTTAATAAAGGAAAGGCTCTACTCCTTAATACACAAGAAATATTAGCCAATTTACCGTCCATCATTAGATAATATCGATTCGAAATCCACTGTGTGGTTACCGGCATACCTCTGAAAAAGTGTTGGACGTAGCATCAGTAAGAATGGAAAAGCTAGAGAAGGGCGAGTATTGCAATAATTGTACGAATGCTGTTAGAGCAGTTGCTGGCAGCCTTTTGAGCTGTCGGAATACTGAAATATTTTCCAGACGAAAGTCTTTGCTGTAATGAAAAACTACCAACCAGATGAAACCATCGCATTACACCACAAAATGATTTTAAGAAAAGGAAAGTAGTAGTTGCGATGAGATTACCGTATTTCTACTGAGTTTCAGGCCAAAAATACAACACAGAAATAAACATCAACTCTTTGATTATGATATCGCAAAATAGTGCAGAAAATTAGTAGAACACATGACATAACACAAACTACCGTCTTCACGAGCCTGCAAAAGCGGCATTTCTTACAGTGCTAGATGTAAGAAATGTAAACCGCTTCTGATTTTGACCATCCTTACCAGGAACGCGTTTCAGAACTCTGTTGGATTCGCAGCTCAGAGCGCAGTAAGAAGTCTCAAATCGAGATGTTGAGGAGTATTTCAACTTTACGAAAACTTTTGGTCGTTCTATATGACGTACCTATGTACCACGATCTGCCTCTACCAAAGACCAATTTGTCTATGAATGACATAGCAGTCAGCCTGTATAACCTAACCCAAAAATTGTTGAATATGATTTCAAGACTTGTGAAGCCAGTGAGAGTAAATACTTCCCAAGCCTGAAGACTCTAGTATATACTTACTCTGATTCTAGTGACTATGACTAAGGAATGTATAAAATATACTTAACTCTCTTCTAAACCTTCAGATCGTAAGAGGTGAATCAAACCCTTACCTCCATTCATCTCGCTCTTCAAACTTCCTTTCTATGCTCATCTGTCTATCGAAATTGTCAAATCAGCCGAAGGGACTGGCTGGAGTTAAAGAGAACAAGTCAATTTGTAAAGCAATTACGTAATTTATGAATACTAAAGAAATTCTGAATCGATTAATATTAGTTAATTGGTAGCTTTCTATGCCTGGCAAAGCAAATTACAAGAAAACTGCTTGAAGGTTGTAATTTAATGTACACAATCGATTTTATTGAATTATTGAAAGTTCATTAACTGAACAAGTAGCATGACGGGCCTAATGTCACTGCTTTCATTCCCATATGAAATATGCAATCGACAATTTTGTCCTTCAGCACTTTTACAAGCAAATTGGCACACCTTAGAGGGAAGTAAAGAAAGTGCTGTTATTTTGTACACATATGTATGTATAGACATGTATTTTGTTTCTTTTGTCGTCAGTATTTCAACGATACACGGTATTTTTAGGTACATGCATCAGCTTCTGGCTGTGCTCCCCCCAATCCATGAAAAGGAGAACTCCACAGCCTGCGCCAATTATCGGCGGGTAAGCCTCTTCAACTCGCTTATAAGATCGTATTGCGTGAAAAGCTAGAGCCCGCAGTCAAAAAACTAAATAGGCAAAATTGATGTGGCTACAAACCCAGATTGAACAAGAATCGAAACACACCATCGATTTTGAAGCTGTTTTCGACTGCATGAAAATGCGATACCGCTAAATATCTATGTTTGAACTTGGTACCTCGTAAATACGACTGTTTGAACTGATGATGCAAAACCAGCAGCTCCGAGCCGTTGTGTAACAAACGAGGTTTCAGCCAGTTGACTCCTTACCATATCAACTCTTCAATTGGATGCTGGAGGAAATAATAGGGGCAGTAGAGCTTAATAGAGAAGGGACAAGCTTTTACAAGAGTATAGAACTGGTGGCATACGCCATTGTGATTGAAATTGCGCCGTTTGTTCCGCTTTTCTCAAGCTCTTAATATAAAGGGGTAGCGAATGGGTCTGGTATTGAACGAGAATATTCTATCATCAAACAAACAGTTAACGCATTCGCGTCATAACTTTTAGGTCGTCGATAATTAATTTATTTAACATCAACAACAATGTCCGTATTGAATTTGAACTCAGAGTCTCTCTCTCTTTTCAACAGAGGCTACACCGTTCACCACCCTTTAGTGGTAAAGGAAAGTAAGAGAAGATATAAGCTCGTGAGTAAATCAGTTAAGTTAAAAGTTTTTAAGCATGCGAAATTACGAAATTTCTGCCAGTTGTAATTTAACGCCACTCCATACAAAAACAAAAAATACTTTTAGTGTTTAATATAAAAAATATTCTGAGTACCAAAAACAAAAAAAAAAAAAAACGGAAAAGCGAATAACCCAGAAGGTGTGGCGCCAGCAGTTGTACGAAATGGGAATTGAGTTTGTAAACAAAACTGACCAGGCAAGGCTTTGTGCACAGAGGTAACAGCATTTAAGCGAATTTATTTCGTAATTTTTCGCTTTTATGAACTCTTTATGTTTTATAATTTTAATGTCCGAAACCTTTCCAAATTCGATGCCAAGTGTTGTTAAAATATTTATTTATGCGCATAAAGTTAAAATTTCACCATCGTCCACTTAAAGTTCGCTCATTTATTTTAATGAGAAGCTGGCGATAGTAGAAAGTAACTCATCTAACAGGTGTGCGCGGGTTAGTAAAGTGACCGCAAAGTCGTTTAGATCATGGGAACGAAAACACTGAGCTTTTCTAATTTGCTTGTTTTTTTTTTTTGTGAAATATATAAAATTTATTTGAAATATATAAAATTAAAACTGTGTGCGCTTCTAAGCACACTGTAGTGATATAAACTAGTTGAAAACTACTTTGAGACTAGTAGGCGGCACAGCAAGATGGTTATTATTTGCTTTCTGCCAGCAATATACTGGCTTTGGATCATCATCATCATAACCATCATCAGTCTCCACTGATATCTTTGCTTGGAAGGTATTTACCAGTTAAGCACTTCAATCTTTCTTGCATCTTCTTCACCATTACCGATTCATTGTATTTTACTCTATTTCATCCACCAAATGGTTTCAACTATTTTTCGTATAATTTTGAGTTCGTCTCTTCTAATAAAGGACAATTAAGAGAATTGAAGCAAGTAAAATAGTACTGCGGCAGAAATATTCAATAAAATACTTTTATTAACCGAATTCATAGTTAGAAGCCAACGCCACTAGTGTGCTTTCAGTCATAAAATTCTAGTAGTAAACTAGTATTTTTCCATTGAGATTGTAAGTAGATTTACTAAAATATGGCAATTGACAGTATTCTGTCAGAAATTTACTACTCTCATACCAGTTCAAAATGGACAAAACTATGACTAGTTTACTTTTGAAATGCAATGGTGTTTCTTAATTTAAAAAGAATTATAGCAAATAAAATAATATTGCAACAAAAATAGTTTTTCAGTAATAATATGCTAGTGGCAAACTAATTTAAGGCTTCTCTGCATGGTATTTTTTCAACTAAATAATTGAAAAAAATAATAAATTTTGGTTTTTGTTTTCATTGATTCTTTCGTACTATTGCTACGTTCTAGCAGTGTTCCGCTTACTGCCTTATTTCCAAACGCCATTTATATTGCTTGCATACTTTTGTGCGCAGTACATATAATCACATCTTCTTCCTCTTGTCACTTGTCAGCCGCTCCTGCCATACTTACATATCTATATACTAACATATTTCATAGGCAACAACCTTATATAACTGTACATTTGCCGCAAGTTGCCGGATGCTTGTACTTTTATGCTATTAAAAAGTAATCAAAACATAAATCGATTTTACAATTTTCTGCAAATAAATGAAAAAAGCGGCATAAAAAAATATGCAAAATTAAACGACTTTCTACATGTTTGCATGTAGATAAGATGCATATTTCCTTTAAGGAACTTAAATGAAATGTCATTTGTTTGACGAGAATGTTTCGCGGTCATAGAAAAAAGCCACTGAAAAAGCCAGATGATCAATTAAATTCTATAGAAATATCTACGAGAGAAGCTTCAAAAGTTCATGGAAAGAAAAATAAAATATCAAAATTTCATTAAACGATGTTACATGGTGACCTTATCGTGTGATTTATTCAATTTGATGGTGAAAAAAATAGCGCTAAAGAATCAAGCTACAATCTTTTACAAGAGTATACAACTGCTAGCGCTAGTATGGTTGCCAACAGATGCTAATTTGGACTGTTTAGGCGATTGAAAAGTAAAGTCCTGTCTCGACGTATAAAAATCAAACACTACTAGTCACTCATCCCACTCGTCCTGCTTGCTGCATTCGCAATGACCAGTACGACGGACGATGGAACAATGAGCTATAACAACCATACATTGACCTTGGTACAGTCCAGCGAATAAAGAGACAGCTGTTACGCTGATTAAAATATATCGCATGAATGGATAAAAGCGCAACAGCTTTGAAAGTATGCGATGCAGAGGAAGAGTCAGGTGGAGAGAAAACTGGTTTCACTTGGTTTCCAATGATGCGCTGTTGATAGCTCGGCTATTATCGGATAAGCGATGCCAAATCCAGTTAAGAAAAAGAATAAAATATGAAATGTCAATTTTCCTACCATTTAACAGTATACTACTAGTGAAATACCAGTTCATATGCAACAATGATAAAGAAAGAAATTGTGAATTTAACTTTATTTTATTTGGTGTAAATTTTTTTAGGTGCGGCTTATGAAATATAAATAAACTGAGTAAAATTCTTTCCATAAAATTTTAATAAATTACTTTTAATTGTTTTAAATTTATATTATTAGAAATAATGCGTATCAAATTCTTTTTTTAAATTTTTTTTTTAGATTTTTTGCCTTTATAATATCTTCTTTGGATGTTTGTACTCTTATATATGTATTTCATCGCTTTTTTTCTTTTAATCTTCCAGATCTTAACCGGCAGAAAACTGATAATCACTAACAACGGTAAAATATTTAGCAGGTAATTTTGTATTTTTTTCTTACTGATATCCTTGCTTGACTCAAAAGTTTTGTATAGCAAGTTACCTGCTTTGGTTTGCTTTTAAATTAAAAAATATATAGTAATAAAAAATGTTTTTAAAAGGTGTATCAAGGACATCAACAACTGACAGTGGGTTAGCAAAATTAATTATAAATAACAGTATATGAATAAAAGAGATATTCATGTATGTATATATGTATGTGCCATAATCTGCTTACAACGAGAATGAAAAAAAAAAGTTTATCCTTATAAATAAACATGTCTTTTATCTAATAGAATAGCGATTTACAGTTATCCTACTACACATAAACATAATAATCATTTATTACAAGCGAACAAGCTATGAATGAGATTTAAATTCTAATTTAAAATACACATAATAGTAGGTAGCGCTATAACCCCACCAACACATAAAACACACACACGCACCTACGAGTATATAAATTTATAAAAGGTAAATCTGAAAATGGCTGCGCATGCATTAGATATATTGTGCCATTGTAGAAATAAAAGAAACAAACAAACAAACGTTGTTGTATGGCATCAACAAATTATTGAAATCAATTCATAGCTTAGCTCCAAAGCGAGCCCATAAGAAGGGCCGTAATAAAAATAATCAAATAAATAACTTTATTATGCCACATGCACGATATTAAATAAAAGATATACGTGCGAGTGTATGTATGTGTGTGTGGAGCTACTAAAGAGCATGCATGCGACACAATGCTCGAGGTAAAAATGTGAAACAATAGCAACAACAAATCAAGAGAAAAGGATAATGGCGTATTGTGCGCACAGTAGAAGTTTAAAAAAAGAGTAATAAAAAAGTAAAAAGGGAAGAAGAAAAAATGAAAAAAAGTACAATAGAAAAAATAATAAGGTTCGAAATGGACCGTTTTGAACATTTCTCTGATTGTTTTGCTCTATTTTTCTGTTTTTCTGTACCATTTTCAGGTCAATAGAAAACTGCACAAACAACATTGTGCTTTTGTATCATACATACACACAAAGCACATATCGAGTTACATCATAGAATAGTAAGCAACAGGATTTGTGTGTGGGTGTAAATGCTTAAAAGGCTTGATGTTTTTTTTTATATCAGCGGAAAGATACAACGAGATAAAGTCAGGTTAGGTATTTTTCAAAGTCTGTTGAGGCGTTGTACGTGTGCAAGTGCGTTTGTGTATGTGTGTGTGTGTAGGCAACGCCCAATCGCCATTGCAGCAACACCTACTTTTTATTCTCATCAATATGAATATTCATCAATCGCTGACCTCCTTCTGACACCGCTCCCCTTTGTGTTTGTCTATCGCGCGGCAGACTTCAGGTCAATTGGTAGCAAACGAACAAACAATCATCATTATCGTTAGCACTGTGTCAACAACGGTGTTGAATTTTGTGTCTTTACTCTATTTTTATTTATTCCTTTTTTTATTTATTCACGCTTTTATAAATTCTTGTACTTTTTTCTATGTTTTCTTTAAGTTCACACAGCAAGGCAATTCAGTGATCCTTCGCAAAATATGACCGGAAAATGTAATTTTCAAATATGTCGGCACAAAAATAAATTGCCAAGTTTGCATTTTTGTTTTGCTAGTCCTTGCCTTTCATTCTTTTCGGTTTTTTTTTACTTATTTTTTTGTTTTTTTTTGCTTTTTTTCCCAAAAAAATTTTTGTTTTTTCACGCTTTGTTGTTATTTTTTGTGTCTACGGTCTGCTTAATAAGAAACAAATAACAAAAATATTGTGCATATCAACCTTGTGAATACTTTTGTTGTTTGTGTGTTTTTGGAAATAATTTGTTTTACTTTTTGTTTGGTTTTTTTTTTTTTTTGGAAAAGGCAAATAATTGCTCAATGATATTATATATAATATGATACTTGTTTGCTCGTTGAAGACCCTTCTGAACTTCCAAAGACAAACACTAATTAGTAGTTGCCAAATATATTTAAACAAGGCTAAGTGCATACATACAAACATATATATGTATGTACAATAAAGGTTTGTTGTTAATGTCTCAATTCCAAATATGTATAGAAAAAAACTTAAAGAGGTTGCAGAAAATATGAAAATTGAAAATAATATTTTCTGAAAAATTGGTTTACTTTTTTCAAACGATACATACAGTTTTTTGAAGAACATATGTATTTTGCTTAAGCAATATTAATACTTTTTTTAAACAATATGTGTGTGTTTTTGAAAAATGTGTGTATTTTTTAGCCTGCTTTGTAAATTCACCCGTTTGAATGTATTACTGATTTTTTGCAACGTTGCCAAATTTCTTTCCTTCCCTCTTTATTAGACAAGTTTATTTTCGAAAATTAACTGATCGAGTTAATGTTGATTTCTATTATTCTATAAAATTTCTTGCAAATTTCGAACTTTATATTATATAGTATAATTTCTCCATTGTTGCCACTTTTCATCTCATGCATTTTTGTTGTTTTGTTTGAGAGATTTTTTTTGCAGATGCACCACTACAATATGCTCTTCACAAGTTTCGAGCCCATCCATCAGTGGATTATCAAAGGTTTTTAATTTTTTTGCAATGTTGCCAATTTTCCATTTTCATCATTTTACAAGATATTGTAAATGATTTAGTTGCGAAAGAAATGAGAACTTATTGTTGTCATTTTACCGTTTGTCTCCTAATTCTTCAATTAATGAAACTTTCCAATTACCTGCAGCAATGCCAACTTTATTCTTTTTTTTTATTGTTAAAACGTTTGATTATTTTTGATCCCGATTTATCTGTTGCCAAAAACTAGTTATTTAGGAAGTTTTTTTTCTAAGTTATTATACTTTTAAGCCTCTTAATTGCCGACTTTATTGATTTTCTGTAAATGTTGCAATTTTTTTTCGCTGTAATAAGAATTACTTTACAAAACCGTCGAAATGTCAAATCAGACATTTTTAGCTATCTATCATCTTCGAGTCCTTGATTTTTCAGAACGTTGCCAATTTTCATCCCTGACATTTTAAATGAAATTTCAGAATGCTTATTTTAAAATTTTTTATTAGCATTTATTTAACAATTTTTTAAAATTATCCACAGATCGTCATAAATTTTTAACTAAATTTTGCAACGTTGCCAAATTTCCATTTCTGCCATTTCAATGAATATTTAAAAGGGTTTATTTTCAAAAATTTTTCTATGTACGCAATTTTACCCTTTGCCTCCATTATAAATTTTCATTTACAGATGTTTTAGCTTTTTTCCAACGTTGCCAATTTTCCTTTTTTCATATTTTGCTTAATATTGTAAAGAGTTGAAAAGAGGAGGAACTGGTCTCACTACCAGAAAATTCAGAACTGTTATTTGTTTAACTTTAGGTTTATAGCTGCCGCGACAGCTATTATAGGGAACACGTATTTTGAATTCTTGATCTGATATTGACGCTCTAATTCTTATATACTTTTTCTTGAGCTTTTCAAAAAGTCATTCAAGGGTCAAATCTCCTCGTTATCTTACAGTTGAATAAGGACTTCAGGCTGATGGGAGCGTACAAGTGTAATTGACTTCAGAAAGTTCGTAATGAATAAGGAATTGGTTAAAGATGTATCCTTCTAAGGCAATTCATTAGTTTTTTTCGTTACCGAACTGGTTACTATAATCAGAAATCCAGATAATGGTGTAGCCGAGTTAACGTTCTTAAGAGCTTAACACACTGCAAATTTTACTTATTGCTGAGATGGCGAGCAATGTCGCCTGGCTTAGCCCGTAGTAACACACCTTTCAATGACAAGTAAATTCGCTTAGAAGCTGATAGTTGAGCTTGGCAAACACAAACAACCCTATGCGTCGAAAACCAGCGAGGTCTTTGAAGGATAAATACTGAATTAGTTGTGAAAGCGCTGGGAATAGGGCATGAGTGAGAGGTTAAAAAATAAGTGGTATTACTTTTTCTATTGTGGAATAGCATATATATGAATTCATTAAATAAAGTTAAAAGTAAAGTCGATCATTTCAGGTTCCACCTTTTCTTTTTACGTGGATTTCATAGTACTTGCTTGGTAGAAAACAAGATCAGCTAGATCAAGAAACTACCAAATATAATTGATTGTAGAGAATAACTTTAATTTAATTTAAATTTAAGTATATGCCAATATCCCACCGACTTTCGTGACAACAACTTTTATTTAAATGTTCCTCCAGCCGCGATACAGACATTTATTTATTTATAAATAGTTAATAAAAGACCGTTAAACCTAAATTACAACACCACGATCCAAACGAAAGAAAGAGGTTTTTCCAATGACTAACATAAATTTACATCAAAAACACGTTCACCATTTAGGCGCACTCGTAAATGACAAATTCATGTTATTTATCGTGACATTTTTCATCAAAACACACAAAATTACATACAAACGCCTCACACGGCATGGATATATACACGTATGTATATGTATAGTTGTCTGCATGCATGTATGCACGTATGCACATACATTTAGGTACATACATATATGCTCATTTGTATGTTAGCTGTCAGTAGCCGAATAATACCTTTCGTGTTCATGTCAGCCCTTGGCGGCGAGTAATTTGAATTATGTCGCACACGTCATGCTAACAGCCAGTAATACGTGGCGTATACGTAATATGAGTGTGTAAAAGTGAAAGTTTTTTTTGTATAATTTATCTATGTTTTTCTTTGCAATTTTTATTTGTGCAATTTCGTCTCTGCACTGCTTTAATAAAGCGCGCATGCAATGCCATTTTTATAATATATCCGTATTTTTTTTTTTAATTTTTGATTTCACAAGTCGTGCGGTGTGAATTTCAACGAAATTGCAGTCATGAAAGAGTTATTTCTACAACAATGTACACTTTAATGGACTTTTTTAAAACTTATATTGTTGCATAATGACATTGGGGAAATTCTATTTGGATTCACAAAAATTAAATTATTCTCTTAATTAAAATTACCGCTAAAAATTAGATTTCGGGCGACTTTCATTTTTTTTTTGTAGTTTTGAGC